CCTTATATGCTTTGACAACCTTGGGAGCCCTATACAGCCCATACTGGGATGCACTTGGGGTTAAGTTAGCCCTAACGCTAAGCCTATTTGAGCGCGAATCGGGGGGGTCGGAATCTGCGAATCGGGGGGTACAAAATAGCCAGATACGGATAGAAACCCTAACGCTAAGCCTAATATGGCACGAATCGCACCCCGATTCGCGCCTCATATTGGTTAGGCTATTTTAGGCTATAATGTAGTAGTTTTAGTAGAGTCTTAGTAAAAGTAATTAACGAACCCGTGTGATTAACGAACCCGTAAGGTACGTTATAATTTTTAACTATAGATTAAGAAGGTAGTAGTCTACGTTTTAATAGTTTTTCTATATATTTTACTAGCTCTGATTCGTGTAGTAGAGTGAGTAATTGGCGTTTTTGGGCAGCTGCAGCCCTTAACTATATTTCATTTTAGTGCCGGCGCGTTAATATTATAATATTAACACTAAACCTTTTTATAGCTGCGTGATATAAAAGTTAACCTTCTGCGTCTTACGAATTAATTACCGCAATCGCTTTTACAAGAGCTGTCATAGTGGTGGAGTTATCACGTGTTAAAAATGATAGGTGGATATTTTGATGGGGTAGATGGTGTTGCATTGGCTGAACTGTTGCACGCACTGACCACACGCAGTACACGTTACACCGCAATACCGGCAACGACGGCAATTTAAAATCTATTTTTATGCGCATTACCTGCGCATGTTCCGATCCGTGTGTCGTCGATCGCAAGCTTATTCCGTAACCACTGATCATTACCCTGCAAACATTTCCCCGATACACGGGTTACTTCCCTGCAGCTTCCGCGTTCACGGGGTTGTAGGTATTTCCTCCGCCAAGTATAGCGATGTTAGCCTTTGCTAGGGTAACGAAGCTTCGGCAAAGGTTATTGACCACCCCAATAATAAGTAAACGTCACCCCATAAGCAGGGGTATGTATTGATACGGTACTTTCTAATCTTAGTTAGTATAATTTATGTTTTCGTACTCTATACTACGTAGCGCGGTAATTTACTCTCCTCTCTCCTCTCTCCTCTCTCTTTACTTCTCTCTTCTCTTCCTTCCCTTTACTCTCTTCTTTTGACCTACTTTCTCTTTCTTACTATTATTTTAATAAAGAAAGAAAAGAGAGGTAGAAGATAAAAGAAGGAAGTAGAGAGAGTGAAAAAAGAGTAAGAGAAGAGAAATATATTTTCTTTCATTTTACTTTACGAGCATAAGATACGATAGATTTCCTTAGCCCGAAAAAGCAGGGGGGCCCTGCTTATGGGTGACGTTGACTTATTATGGGGTAGTGGTCAATAACCTTTGCGCGAAGCTTCGTGTTCTCGGTCATATGAGCTTACGATGTTGCGGATCATAGCCTAGATGAGCGCCGAGATGGACCACCTTCGTCATTGCAAGGGATCCGGATACGAGACCAAAAGACGTATAAAAAGTGAGACGCAGTACCTCACAACTTGCTAATTTAATCTACAACAATATCCAACTTTCGCTTCCAATTCACTTAACGAGCTATTAAACATACCTCAACATGAAGTACGCCACCGCCACAATCGCCGCCGTCACCATGGCTCTCGCATCCGCAAAGGACTGCAACCTGCCCCCCATCTCTGAAGCCGTCGTCCCCGGCGACGTCTTTAAGCTCGTGGCTCTCCCCAAGGTCGCCAATGAGATCGAATGCGAGCCCTTCCAAGCCAAGAACAACAACCTCCTGATCGGCGATAGTTTCCAGAGCGCAAACTGCACCACACGACTCCCCCGTGACCATGCGTCGTTCGTCCTCAACGGTCAGGGTCTCCTCTTCCTCTACACCGGCGACACGCCCGACAACTTCGAAGCCCAGGAGATATTCGTCGACCGCTCTGGCATGGGCCAAGGTAACATACAATACACCACCGGCCTCCCTGCAAATATTGGCCGCAACCAGGAGTTGGGTCCTTTCAAGATTACCGAGACTAGCGACCTTGTCTTTGATAACGGCAATGGTGCCGTTACGGCTTTCCAGGCTTGTCCCCCAGCTGACGGTGACAAGTTGACAGGCTGGAAGGTCTGGCTTGCGGGCAATGACAAGCCGGCCGGTAGCGAGGGTTGTGTTGAGCTGAATGCTAGAGCTGTCAAGGAGACGAACCCTGAGGCTTGCGAGTACTCCGTTTACAAAGCTTAGAGAAGTGGTTAGTAATAAATATCTATATATACAATAATAACGCAATAGATTCAAATTGCTATTATAATTCATGTCTTGAAAATTTCCTCTAAATATTAGTAAGAAGTTAGAGAGGGGGGTTACTCGACCTAGTCTCGCGGACCCCTAACGGTATTAGAATCCATAATAGTTAGTGGATATTAACTCAGAGCCCGTGCTTTTAGCTCCAAGTTTCAGGTCTAGTCTAGATTGGGAAGTTTCTAGCTATTACCTTAGAGAACATTAAAACATTCTCCAACTAATTAGTATTCTTCTAATTAGAGAAGCTTTAAATATTGTATCAATTTTGAGATATTTTAATTTATATATAATATACTATATTATAGATATAAGTTTTATAACATACTGTTAAAACTACTAATAGAACTAATATTAAAAGAATATAAAGAATAGAGTCTCTTAGACCTAGTAGAAAATAATATAATAAAATTTTATATACCTATCCATAGTTAGTCTTATATTTTATATATATTTTTTATTTTAATAAATAATATTTATAAGAATTTAATTTAGTTCTTATATAGATTATATATGTCTTACGTAGTTCTATATATCTCTAGGTAATCTTATCTTTAAAATAGATCTAGTACTTCTTATCTATACTCTAATAACTATAGTAATTAATTCTTTATAGTAATTAGTTAATTATTAGAAGTAATGGTAAGAAGGATTCTCTTTCTAGGTATAATAAGAGATAGTTGGGAAACTACTTAGAATTCTAACTAGAAAGATAATTATTATAAGGTAAGATTATATAACTTAGTATTTTACTAAAATATAGCCTCTAGAAGACTATTATAAATAGAGAGGATAATATTCTTCTAAACTTTCTCTTAACATAGAAAGCTATAGAAAATTAGACTAGAAGTCATAAGAATATAAAGATAGATTTTATTATTACTCTTGTTTTAGTTAACTTAAATTATACTTTCTTACTAGTTACTTAACTTTATAAGATTAAAACTTATTAGTGTATTTAATATAGATTAGAAATTATTAAACTTATAATTGTTTATCTTATAAGTACGCTACTCTACTATAGAGCTATTTACCTTATCTTACTCGCTCTAACCTAGACTAAGCCTAGAGAAGTATCAGCACCTAACCCCGTGTAACAGTATCAGCTTATTTAATCTACTTCATTATAGGTTGCCTCTTTGATCTGTTAAGCTTACTTATGTATCGCGCCATGATATACATATAATTTAAGTTTATCTCTTTATCTAAACCTAACTCACTATCGTAGTCTACCTTCTTAATAAAATATTTTTATAAATTCTTAACCTCTAGCACTCAGCATATACTTTAATAAACCTACTCCTTCTAAGTTTCTTCTGGGAACCTACGGGCGTAGCGCAGCTTCGTAAGATCATCCACTTCATCAACGCGAATGCGTGAGCTGCGAATCTCCGGACGAGCCAAGATTTCTTCGTACACCTTTCCGAACTAGGTAGAACTAGAAACTCCATGCTCCTTTGCTACTTCATCGACCTCGACACGGAATCCAAGCAAGACCTCGTTTACGCAGACATTCGGCTTCCAGTTGTCACGGCAAGCAGCGATGACCATAGAGAACAAAGCACCTTGCGTCATAGCTGGCACCGGATAGAGTGCTATATCATCCTGCGAGCCAGTACATATGGTCCAAGTGCTCTCTGCCTTTTGCTCGAGAAGATAACCAATGGTGTCGCGGTACGCGCCTGCGAGCTCATTAGCTACAAAATATTAACAGTAGGAGAATTTAGCTTACAGAAGTTGGCCTTGAAGCCGAGCTCGAAATTGTACTCAAGCTGCTCGTCGCTAGTCTCGGGGAGTTGGGTATCAGTGTATTCGCCACCAACTAGATCAGGTTATCAGTAAAGAAATGCAAAGATAGACAATGATGGCAGGCTTCATTGAAACTTACCGCTGGACCAGATATGTTGGAACGCTGGGAGCTTGCCAGCCCGAACTTGGTCGACAACGCTCTTGATGGCTCATTTTGAAGCTACATCAGCAAAGGCGAACGTGATCCCCTTGAAAGTCCGAACGTTCTTGATGAGCTTGTCGGCCGAATTCTGGTTACGGACAATAGCCAGGACGCTGCGTTTAGTGCGTAGGGCAGCGCTGACAGCGGCCGTGCCGATGTTGCCAGTAGATCCAACAACGAGAATGGTCTCCATTGCGGCTTTAAGGGACATTCAGTCTACTTCAAAATGGGTGAACGAAGTGAGGAGTGTAGAAGCTGGTGATTTATAGTTGTTCTCTTCGCCGATCGTAGCATGATTTATGTGTAAAGCGCGAGGTTACAGGCGCCAGCCCGTTTGGGGTCTACGGTGTCTCGCGTTCATAGAGGCCGACTGATTTGAAATCAAGGCTGCCCGTCAGTCGATTTCGAATCACAAAGCGAGAGCCTGCTCCCGTCGACCCATCTTTGTGCAGCGTTATGGCCTCTGGGCGCACCGGTGGACTGGCTCATGTATCGGTGGGAAGGCCTCCTCTCGCGAGACTGCCGATATGCGCAACTTGGTATGTAGCGTCTTTACACCAGGTTATTCGAGATAATAAGGCAGACTTCACACTTGTAAAACTTCCTCTCTTTAGATGTGGAAGTGCTTATGTAGGGTGTAACATGTTTGTAAAAGATGCTATTAAGCAATCTCATAATCTTCTAGCCAATTCAACCCTAACGAGCTACAATCACTGTTCTAGATAATTGTGGGGAGAGGCTTACCTATACAACTTCGTAGCTTAAAGCACATCTTATAGAAGTTCTTCGCCGTTTAGACGCTTTCTAGAAATGGACATTTGTCTATCTAGACTTTAACGAGCAAGACAAAGTAAGAGAAGATATCAATACTATTAAACAGAGCTTGGCAATTTGTGCTTAAGCTTCCGAAGATATATTCGCAGATCGAGTTAATATGTTTGATGAAGTGTCACCTAGAGAAGATGATTACTAAATCGCCTTAGTAAATATACGCGCTTCTTTTATCATGCATTGAGCTTAAGAGGTTAGTACGTAGATAGGTACGTTCATTAGTAGGTGATTGGTGGAATCAATAATTGAGGCGCACCTCCAACCACCAAATCCGGCGAATGATTACGCTCGCGCAAGATATAGTAGTCATCCTAACGTTACACGACGATCCTTCATGCGCGATGTGTTGTCTCCTTTCACAAGCCTCTAGGTTGTAAACGACGTAGGTCCAAAGTAACAACACACGATGTACGCCATATTGTATATAGCTCGCGACAAGTGGATCCAACGTGACTGTTGCATAGCTATCGTTTCATTCTTCCTATATCAATTCAACCTTTTCTTTCCGTTATTATAGCCAAATCCATGTTTAAGACATATCCAACGTTTCTGTATGACGATATTTCTACCTCAAAGACGATCAGGCTGCTTAGAATCGACTTAAGCGACAAAGATACTCTCAATGGGCAGCTCTGTACCATAAAACTTGAAGATGCTCCCCCATACCTTGCTCTTAGCTATTGTTGGGGAAGTCCAAAGAAAGATGATAGCTTGTGGTGCAATGGTTCAAGAATCCAGATCACAACGAGTCTATCTCAGGCTTTGAGAAGGCTAGCAGATTTGCAAGATGGCATACCGGATTACAATCATACCGAACCTTGGTTTTGGATTGATCAAATCTGTATCAACCAGCACAATCCGACTGAACGGTCCCATCAAGTGAGGATGATGGGTGAAATCTATGCGCAAAGTTACAGGACGCTTATCTGGCTCGGACTACCCAATGAATCATGTGATCAAGCGTGGGACCTTCTTGACCTTATCTTCTGTGTCTTTCGAAGAGAATGTCCTAATGCGCTCTTTCTTTCTGATATAAAGCTCCAACTTTATGCTCCAACGCATCATGCTACATTTGGCCTTCCGGAGCCAGAGGACTTGGCTTGGGCTCATCTTCGTCATCTATTGGACGCGCCTTGGTTTAGAAGAACTTGGGTTATACAGGAGACGGTCTTATCCCCAAAAGATCCATTAATTCTTAGGAATTCTGGCGTTTATCCTTGGGAGAAGCTATCATGGGCTGCTTCGTGGCTTCGACGAACGGGATTCTGTCGTACCGATATCGTTTCCCAAAGATTCTTGAACATCGATCTCCTCGCCAACCTTCGACGGTCTGTCGAGTCCTGGAAGCTACCTGCGCTACTGCAAGCAGTAGGTCCGAAGTTCGATGCCACCGATCCGCGGGACAAGGTGTACGGCCTTTTGGGTCTGGCTGCCGAGACTAAAAGCTTACATGCATTCCCACCCGCTTTAATTCCAGACTACCGGCGAGATGTCACAGAGGTCTACCGCGAAGTGGCAAGATACTTAATTGAGCGATACCGATGTCTTGCAATGTTCACGTGCACGATTCCAGGATCGGAAAACAACATCATTCTCGACCTTGTTTGGTGGCGTCCTAGCAGACCTATATTCTCATCTTGGGTACCAAGATGGGATGTACTCATCGAGAAAAACCAGACAAGGAGTTTGGTGTGGCTATCTTATCGAAACGGAGGCCGTGCGACAGAAATGGGATTTCCAACACATTACGCTTCCGTTGGGGGTTTACCTACAGCTATAGAGCGCTGTGCTGATCACCGATGTTTACGACTTAAAGGTTTTCGGGTTGACACTATTGCTTCCACGTCCTGTGTTGGCGATTCTAGAACATTGTCCAACATAGGTAATCCTGGACCGGAACTTGTCCCTGTGTACAAGAACAGTTTTAGTCCTGCTTTGCACAGAGTACTCAAATCCTTCAAGATATCGTCAAACTCAGCTAGAGAAAAATTTCAGAAACAAGCTCTTAACATAGCTCTCGATTCACAGGGTGGGTCACTAGACCCCGCGTCGGCCGATGCTTTCATTGCAGCAATATCAGCCAATGCTTGGCATCTAGCAGGATCTAACCCTCAACAACTCAGACGCAACGGGTACGCCTTCTTACTATCCCATCTCCATAACACGAGCGGACTTTTCGGAATTCGTAAACATATATTGCACGAGGCTGCTGGCGGTGATGCGGATGCTTTTGTTGCACTAGCGAAGAACTTCGCTATAAATCGACGATTCTTTGTAACGAAGCAAGGAAGGTTGGGATTAGGTCCGAAGTGGACAAAAAAAGGTGATGTTGTTAGTGTTCTGTTTGGTAGTGGTTTACCATACATTCTTCGCCCTAAAGGAAACACCCAGTTTATGCTTCTAGGCGAATCATACACGCATAGTTTAATGAACGGCGAGTCTATCGAGGCTTGGAGGTCTGGACGGCTTAAGGATCAATATCTAGATCTTCTATAGAAATACAGCAATCTACTGGACTACTATATGTATCAATAATGCCGACGTATGAATAGGTGGATTTTAGTATTTACTCTTATTGTAGTAGTGTATTCTGGCTTTACACTCTTTTCTATCAAAGCTGTTAGTGCTCGTATATGCTTATAGAAATCTATTAACATACGCTTATTGTATTCTAAGAGGTACTCTGCATAGAAATAGCGCTGTTTATATTTTAGTAGCATATGGAGTAGATTAGATACTATTAGGGCGAGAAGATTGTGTTCAGCTCTATCTTAGTTTGCGGTCTAATCGTCTGATTAAGAGCTCTGTCTAGAAGACTGTGAGGCATCTCGCGGATAAGCATATCATATATAAAAAAGCAGATTTAAGACGAATCCTAAAGAGATATCCTTAATCTTAGACAAGATTAACATACTCTATATGGGTAACTAGGACTGCTCCAGCGCGAGAGGTGCCTAATGGATCCCTGAGTGTTACCCTCTATTTCAGACTACCGTGATAAAAACGGAGATACAAATGGCGTTATTTTCGGTAAAACGTCGTTTTGGCGCCACCAGCTGGAGCTCCGTTTTGTTAGCGTAGCGCCAGCAAAAAAATCTATATCTAGTGCTTACCTGGTCTACTGTGTACAATTTCGCTAATAGTCTGTTGCTTCATGAAGTGGTTAGTGTAAGTCAGCGGGCGGACTCAGACGGTGATTCGGGGTTACTGGTATCATTGTTACATGGCGAGACACTGAGCTAGAGATGCTAAATTAAGTTTATTTGTCAGTGGATGTCTGAATATCTAAACCAGCCTATCTCTCACTGATATGAACTACAGCTCAGAACAAGGAAAATTTACAAGGCAATTGTAAGTGCTCTCTGCAAAAGCAACGAAATAATACGCTAAGTTTCTATTGAGCATTTCAAGTCTAACAATTAGTAAACAGAAAAAGAAAGATTTATCACGATGTATCTGAAAGGTTTCGCTCTCTTTTTTGGCGCCTGCACCGCTTCTGTGGTGGACTACAGGCCCATTGTGCAGCCACGCAACATGACTGCAAATCCGTCTTTGCCTAAACTAAACAGCACTATGGAAGATGCACACATCAACATATTGGCGAATTTTCCGGCTGATCAAATCATTTATTCTACCGGCCTTGACATGTACTTTGCAAACAACGCAGGAAAAAAACCACACCATCTACGTTCAGGATACGAAGAAATTCATCAGCATGGCATCTGTATCACCTCTTTCCAAGCGAGGAGACGGCCCATTTTGCCATAGTTACCAACATGTCTGGGTTCCTCAAAGTGGACATTGGTATACCAACTGGCGGCCAGCTGAGTCCAATCCTCGTTGCCTTTATACAGGGGACTCAGAGTCTGGAGGTTCTTTAACGATAGACGTTTCCTTCATCTTCTCAATCTCAGAGTCAATCTCTTTGGAGTGGAACGTTATCAAAGACGTACTAGGGGCTACTGTTGGCCTGACTATCACGGAGAGTTGGTCCAAAGCTACTCATGTGCAATTTTCAGTATTAAAGAACAGCGTAGTCCAGGTTTGGTTTGAGCCGTTAGTTGCCTGGGGTTGGTTCTGGGGTGAGAACTGCCAATCTTGTGGGCAATTTGGAACTTCATGTTCATCGGGGTATGTAATTGGTGGCCAGACGACGCCTGTGGACAAGTATTACAACTCGGGCTGTACAACTGGATATGATAAGGTGCAATTTTAGTACTAGCATTAGAATGTTGTAATATGCTCACAGAATCACGAATCAAACCTCGTTCCACATGAACTTTATTCAATTGTGATTGTGAATATCACACCAACACTATCATTGATGATCTCAGACAGTCTCTGAGAGTAATCTTCTGTCGGGATCTATGTTAGATTAGCTTCGCTGCTCTTTAGTGAGTGTCGCTTGGCATGTACATTCGTGCTACAAATAACACACCACTATACTACTTAACCCTATCCCCAGTAATCGATCGTGTCTTCTTCTATAATGGTTTCAAGTATGTTCGTCTATCTGATTTAACTATATAATAGTATACTATAGTCGTTAATGTATTAAAATTACAGAATTGATTCGATGGGTTTCGCTTACCAGTGCGTATACTAAATGATGAAGTCGCCGATACGTGGGCCTAGCTGTAAGCCGCATCGCACTCCGGCATGTTCAAATAGCAGTATGGGCATTCGCAGTTGGTCACGACAGCACTTCGAGAGCCGCATTCCGTCTGTCAATTCATCTTCCTTGACTCGTTGCAAATGTGTTCTCAAGCCTTGAGCGACCGAACAGACAACACAACGCCACAGAAGTTAGCTGAATAAACAATGGTCATGTTAGCACACTCTCCTTTTACACAATTATAGAAAGACATATTGACCGGCCTATTGCCGCAAGACCCGTGTCCCATCGGATACACAACTCGCAGCCAGTCTTACGGCACCTATCAGCCAAGCAATAACACCTGTTATAGCACGAAGCGTGCGATAATCATTTTACGCGAACAGGATACGTTAGTTGCGTGTAGTCCTCGACTCTGTCTATTTCTGAGAACAGTGTTTGCTGCTAGCTGATACCTACAGTACTAGCCATAGTATGGCTTTGCTTTCCGTTAGGCTTGCTCACTCCGATCTCAGTTCTGGTGAGTTCAACAACGTGAATCGACCCCATCAATCGACCCCAGCGACCTCCCAAATCCTCTACCACGAGCTTCGATGCCAGAACAAGCTGGACATTTGTCCAACGGCGGAAAAGACAGCAGCGGCTGCTCAACCGGCGGACCAGACGATGCAAGAACACTGTGCTTTGGGAGACACTCCCGCGAATATATAGGACTAGGTGGTGTAGCAGCACCGTAAATCCTGGGCCCCATCCGTCCGCATGCCCCATGGGAGGCTTTTAGATAGGACGTTAAATTTGAACATACATACATACATACCACGAGCTTCAGATACAGCTACCCCGGGCTATCCCGAAAATGATGAACCTGTCTGGACGGCTTCGAATCCTTGATCGCGAGCAATTCACGTTGAGCTTCGGTGTTCATACGGCCCAGACTCATGCCGCTTTAATAACGTCAGCCCTTCCAATCCACTCTTTCTCATTGCTAAGGCGTCGAAGAACTTAACTTGTATATCACGCATAGATACTGCAGGAAAAGCTACTTTAGGCTGTTGAATTACACGCTGCCGATCATCAAAGACGCGAAGTGTTCAGTTTTGAAAGGCTTGGTGCTCGATGGATATCGGTTTGGCGGACCTTTGACTGTAGAGTCTCAAGAGGATGTAAAATTGAAGGGGATGAAGATAGGAATGTACGATGAATGTGTCACACCCACGGATTACATCATCGTAAAAGGTCTAAGACGAGATACTGCACCAGACAACTCATATCAGTCTGGCGGCTTGATTAAATCTATAGATTAAGAAAAGCATAAAGGGCTCAGTACAAATGAGTCACGTAATCCCAAGCGCGTTTTGGTACAAGGAATCGCTGAAAGCGGCCTACTGAGGAGCCTAAAACCCTACATATCATGAGTTTAGGCTTTGTGGACGCGGTGAACAACAACATACTAACGCGACTGAGATAAATCGAACGGATGGCAGAGGGTGGACTAGCGAGCTTAATCGCACACCACGGCGGATCAATTCCAAAATTGGAATACCACTGTGATGAAGCCATGTGTTCCCAGTCCCTTCACCCTTAAACCTCTCCACTCCTCCAGCTAGCTGCTGCCCCAAATGTCAGCATAACTGCATCAACATATCTCAGGGCGGATCTTTGCCAATCGACGATCTGGAAAGATTGGCCAACATGCCTCACCTGCAAATCGCTGATCTGTTTTTCCGGATGCGAAGCAATTGCCAAGCCAAAGAAGAGGTTTTAGGTACTGTAACCAATTACATGTTGCCTCTAGGGTAGTATAGCTTGAAGAGTTGCAACGGTACTACAAAATACTAACTATTTAGCATCAACCGCACCGTTGCTGAAGATGTCTTCGATTTACTTCAAGACCATAAGTAGAACAGAGAGATGCAAAAGGTTACGCTGTTGACGGGAGACTGGACTTCAGGGTAGAATGAAAGCTCTATTATGTCGTGCAAAAGGTCAGAGTGGCTTACACTGTCGAAGATAGTAAAGCCACCTGTAAATTTGAGTGTGTTCTCTACTATAAAAGTCTTTGAAGTAAAAATGATTGCAAGCTGAACTATAGCTGATGGTGCCAGTCAGGCATGAATCTTACTAATGACTAGCTATGGAACACGTCTAAAAGAAGAGTAAGGGACGGGGAAAGCCGCTTTATAGAGGGCTGTGTAAGTGATGGATTGAGCGGAGAAAAGACACCAAGATGAAAGAGGGCAGGATCGTTTATTGGTCATGGATGGCATGAAGATATAAGCAGTGTTTCAACACCGGGCTGGGCCCTGCTTAAAGCACACAGATTACGACCTGGCTTTCTGCATAGTCCCCTTTTTAACATGATCGGCATGTACGAAAAGCGGAATGACACATCAAAAACAAAATTAGTGTTTTGGACCCACACGATGCGGCACGCCTAGCATCGATCCGGACGATATATCTGCAACGTGTACTCAACTCCAGGCATCTACGAATCACAGTACCAGGCATCAGAACCGTTTCATACTCGATCACAAGAGGTCGCTTTTACAGTCTAATGCTGGCAAATTTTCAAGGCTATATCAGTTGCTGAGGGCGCTTGTCAGAGACTTCACACCATCTGAACTTCGTTGAATATCTGATGGCTTCGACTCGAATATTCTCCGGCATTAAAATGGCATATCATATGCTCACACTTGCTACGATTTCACATGGCACCAATGACATGAACGGTCCCGTATGGACACCCGGATCCCCGTGCCCAACATCGATCACCGCACAGATCGGCACTTCAGGTGGTGACTGGTGCGCGGACGAACCCGATGGGCCTTATTGTCGCTTTCCAAACACCACAATTATTCACACTGCTTTACTACATTGCCCCGCCGTGGAAGAACTAGACATCTACTTCGAAGTAGGAGGATGCACAGGCCCGGAAGTCGATCGCTGGAACCTACCTGTCGAACTTTTGGGGGAAGGGCAGAAGTACCCGCCACTCAAGCGATTGATATTGGACGGGTACTCCTTCGGGGGTATGTGGGAGAGAAAAGAAGAAGAAGAAGAAGAACAGGGTACGGATCTAAAGCTTTATGAAGACGAATGGGATGACTACGAAGCACGTTGGTCCCCAAATGCGTATATCGACGAAAAAACGCATGGGTCGAAGAGAAACAAGCACGCGATGGGGAAAGTAAGACGAATCTCGACATGTGGATCGAAGCTATGGATTGGAGTCAGCTGAAGGAATTAAGTATCAACACGAGGCGAAGCGAGATGGCGGAGGTCGCCTCCAAGCTACCACAGCAGCTTATATCACTAGAAAGCTTACACTTGAACTCTCCCGCATTCATACAGGGTTTGAAAGAGCACACTGTCAAGGATCTCAAGTGGGTTGGTCAGACAAAGAAAGGGCAACTCGAACATATCCTTCAACTCCAGGGAAAGAGTTTGCAGAGTGTGGAGTACAGATGCGGCGAGGCTGTGTGCTCAGACTGGCCACAGCACGTGAATCTATCCGCGATTGGAGAGCTTGCACCGCAGCTGCAGCACATCAGCCTCAACATGCCGCGCGTCAACGGTACATGGCCTTTGAAAGAACTCGAAAGCTTGGCCAGTATACCATCACTCACATCTATGGAATTGTATTTCCGATTACAGTCTGATTGCGAACTATACGGGCAGTATCTCGGTCGCTGTCACAGATGTGGCAAGGCGTATCGAGAATGGAAGCACGAGAATTGGGAGACGGGACATTGCCTGGGCGAGCAGAGATACGCATCGCCCCTGTTGAATTCTACCACTGCGCAGGAAATGTTTACATACCTACGGCTTAACAAAGTTGGTGCTGAGCTTAGAGAGATAACATTCAAGGCTGGTGATTGGGCGGGACCGTACGATGGGCCATTACGTTTAGATATGTTTCTCGACGGCAAGTGGGTGAAAGTGACCTGCAAAGCAGATTCTGGGGGGGATTTGTGCGATTACGAAGACCAGTACACCCAGGGAACGGAAGACCTATGGTAAAGGTTCCAATAAATCCATAATATTTGCGCTAGCTTCATTCAATTTAGAGGTTTGAAAGATATTTAGACCATTCGAATATATCTTTTAGAGAAAATCCTAAGAATAAGTATACCCTATTATAGTTACTATATAAGCGTAGTTCAATGTTTAAGCTACTCATAATAGAGTAACAATGAAAAGATGATATTTTGATAGAGTTTTTAACTATCAGTCACGTCATTTTCCACACTCTAAATCATTCTATGCGAGTCTTTACAATACAAGGTCTGAACAATTTAGTACTATAGCGATAGACGCTTGTTCAAGGTTACGAGTTCTAACAACGAAATATATGGATTAAAGTTCTACGACAGAGTGAAACAATCTCTAATATCTCCTCCATGAACACCAGGTGGTGTAATACCCCAAGGCTCAACCTCTGACTCCGACTCCTCTCTGTATTCCACCAAAGTCGAAACGAACGGGATCGGGACCTTCGCTAGCCTATTTAGCCAATCATCTTTGGATAATAGAGGTGCAGAATAGACAAGATCTATGCCGTTAGGTCTGAGAAGATGATCTTGAACGTTATCCATGCGGTCCCATAGATATCCGCCACTCTCCGTCTCTCCATAATTATCAGGGCAGAAATCTATCTGGACAATCTTGAGTGCACCCTTGCAAGCAATAGCATGCTTCCCAAGTTGTTCCATCCACTCTTCTTCTTTCTCTCCAAAGTCATTCCAAGACTTGCTATGCTGATCATAAATGCTAAAAGACCACCCGAAGAGCTTCAGTTCTGGTCCCAGTAACTTCGCAGTCTCCACGGTCAATGGTTTCAGTTCACTTGGAAAGCCCATCTGCCATCGAGATAATGTCAAGGATTCTAGATTAGGAAAGATTGTTGCATCAAAGATATGCTTGTCTTCACCATCATTGCGAGAGAGGTAGCCGATGTCAATACTTAAGGGACTCGCTGTGGGATAAAAGCCACGCTTGGAAGGTGGGATAGTTCATCATCGACGAGTTGTTGTAGAAGCTATCGAGCCTGAAGTGTTTAAGCTGGGTGAGCCATTCGATGAGCGCAGCGGTAGGTTGCGGTGGTTCCTCGTAGTCTGATACGATGAGTAACGTGAAGGATGCGCTACGAAACGACTAGGTGATAGATTGTAATCTTTATACACCTGGTATTGTTACTCTAGAAGTTTTTACGTACATTCGGGTCTAGTATAAGAGGCAATTCTCTCCATTCAGATAATCCATTCAGATCCAAGATTTGAAGCTTCGGGATCGGGGCATTTACAATAGGCTGAAGATGAAGCCCCGGAGCCACTCTACCCAGGTTTTAATGCTGTAAACTTTCCAACTTTTGCATCATCTTTTGGATCAGCTCCCATGTCTTCTGGTTTAATCTCTGGAATCCGCCATGACACTCGAAACATCTCACTCTGGTTAGCCATTTTACAAGGTCCTTGGCAATCGTCCAGTCCGTTGGCCGGTATTGATAGTCTGCAATGCCAAGGGAAAAACGCCTACAATGACGGCGAAAGGACGGGTTCTGCCGTAACACAAGATGCACCCGAATAGTACTTTTTTGGGGGGGGGGGGGGCACTGTCGACGGTGTGCCATCAAATGATGTAGTGTGGAAAAGCATTGGCTGGGCGATGCGGCGAGTTCGCCAATATACACGTGATAGTGCTTTCGCGCATTTGGTATTTGGCCGGAAGTTGCAGTCAGAGCATCCATGCGAACGGTCAACTTGAAAAACGGCAAGCTCAACGATAGAGATCAGAAGCTCTTGAGAGAGTCTAGGTATAACCATAAGACCAGTCGCAAAGGGACTGCGGGTAGAGGGGTTCTCGGAAGAACGCTTTGGGACTGTATCTGGAAGTCTAAGATCGATGATAGCAAAGTCTCGCTTTGGAGATAGCCCAAGGTGCGTCTATCGAGTAGTTCGATTCTGTTTCTTCATCTCTCCTGAATAAACCACTCGTGATTCGCGGCTGATAACAAATGATTAACTAGAAAAACGTAGTGAACAGACCTCTCAGTGCAAAATGGCGGGGTCTGTGGGGCATGAGGCGATAGCGCCCCAAAATGAGATGAAAACCCTCAGTCAGTTTAGCGAGAAAGTAACCTCGGCAGTGCCTATATTCCTGCGCTGACTCGGCGGATTTTCAGGCAAGAGGGTAGTTATTTGATAACATATAATAGTGCTATCATGATGTGGAAAGATATGGAGCAGAGCGAGGTGCCCCCCTCCGGGGATATACATCATCATGTGATACATGGTACTGAAGCAACGACCAACCATACTTTGTAGTAATGTTGGCACTCTGTTCAATGAACACGAATGAGACATCTACACTTCTCCAAGCGACTTCTCATAGAAAACGCTGTGTGTTGCATCAGTGTAGCTCCCGAACTTCCCTCGAGGGATAAACCCGCACTTCTCGTAGAACCGTCTGGCTCCTACCAGGAAGTCTCCAGTCTCTAATACCAACACAGACCATCCCCTTCCCCTCGCTTGCGCTTCGAGCTCCCCAAGTATCCGTTGCGCGATTGATGTGCCGTTTTCTATGACCCCTCGATGTGCTGGATCGACAAACATCCTTTTGATTTCAGCAGCACTGCCGTACCCTAGCCGAAGAAGATCTTGCAATGGTCGAAGGCCACCGCATCCCACTGGGACACCAGACAGATACGCGACAAGGAATATTGGCACGTTAGACGCGGTTGGAGGAGTGCCTGGATCATCGCCGCCGAGAGAGAGTATTTCGGCACGCTGTTTAGAGCGGAGATGGATACTGTCAGGATGGTCCCAAGATTGTAAAAGTATGGTAAGGTTATTAGCTTGGGACATGCTGCTTATATTGGAAAGGCGTAACGTCGTAGTAAGTCGATCTGAAGTCGATGTGTTGCTCAATACCTAGCAGCGATTTGAATAACGAGACCTATATTTCCTACCTGGTGAGTCATCGTCAAACTTATATAAGCTCTACTATCTAGTAGAGTAATGTGGGGACTGCACCGGAAAAAGGAACACTGTGCCGGAAAAGTAAACCTTAAGATTGTTTTGGGATTGTGGACGTAGTCATGCAGACAGTTGTCATTGAAATAGTCTCGCTGTTTATCTTTCCCTGTTCAGTCAAATACTTCGTATCGCTGTGCAGGCCGCAAGGTATGTAGAAACAAAAGTCAGGCCTTTCGGCGGCAATCAGATCACCTCTGACTCTCTGTTAATGAGCGCAGCGCTAGGATTTCTGTAAGTCTCTAGACTCATCACAGTACCGCGAGGCTTGCATTGACACGCGTGTGCTCTTCTTTTCTGTCATGTTCGCAACTGTTTTCCCTAGTTAGCTGTAAGTGGCTGAAGAGTTTGCAACAGTCCCTTGTGAAACTCTACGTACTACTACGTTGGCACAGGCCACGTCTACGAACATCAATCCTCCAGCATCTGCTATTACATACCGTGCACCATTCATCTTGCAACACAATAGCATGTGTCTTATTCCATTCCTATAGTCATTTGCATCAGATATAGATTATGCACGAGTTTCTTGCATAGTTTTAGCTGTTATCTCGCGCTCCTAGGATAGTTCGTAACCCTAATGCAATGCCCCACTGAGTTCAGTTCTTAAATCCCCGTTATCTCAGGATTCAATACCCAAGTTTAAACTCAACAAATAACGAAATGTTAAGTACACAAAGATAGGCGTTTACTGAGATGTAATTGTAGCAGCATAGTACAATTATACGATCTAAACACTAGCCTCTCGTGGGCGTATTAGATCTTCAAACCAGAGTGTTATCTGGCTGGATTTCGAAGAGCCTTTTTTACAGTACACCTCATTAGTTGGTTAGCGATGCGACATATTTCTTGATCCTCGATTCAGAACGGAGATAATTGTGACTCTGAAACCATTTGATGGTAAAGAGGCTACGCACTCGTATGCAGCGGTGACTGGATGGAGTGGTTTCAATGTAGTGGCAGATGACTGTGGTGTGTAAACTATTTTGTTCGTTGTGTGAAGCATAGAAGAACTGCTGCTCGGTCCAGACGCCTTCAACGAAGCTGATTTTAGTGAGTCGGATGCGCTTGACACATCTTCTTGTGAACCAATCGGATCAGCTGGTAAGTCTGCCACTGTGAGGCATCTGCTCCTGGGTTCTTCCACGCATGATGGCTGGGACAGTTAGCGCAACAGTAATGCTCCCCTGCAATGTCACGCCCAGCGATTTGGATAAAATCGCGCGAATATGGCGCTGCTGATGGGTGCTCCATGATATCGTGCCATTTCTTTTGATAAGACACGATCATCCTTATGCCCATGTCTCGATCAATGCTAATTATGTCCAAGATGCAGTCGCTCACTAGATGTCTAGATTTCCTAGTTCTTGGGCTCATATATCGAAATTTCCGCATCAATGCCAATGGGCGAAGCAGCACTGGATTGTTTGTACTCATCGATAGCCGCATTCAGGCTGGCATCCTCGGCGGCATCTGTCAGGTCAGTTATTAGCTTGCGTGATGTCTGCTGTAACGGCCTCGGACTACTCTTAGCTTGTATGATAAATGCTCCCCATGGCTCTCTTGGGGTCTTTCAAAGTATTTTGGTTCTCAGGCAGGCGTAAATGATTTGGATTTAGCGGGATGGGTCAAAACCAATGGAATATAGTAGGAAGTGTGAATATTCACAAGCAGTATATACCATCGCTTCAACAGCGCCGGTTACAGTTTCGCTCTGGTGTTTGCTGCTTCTTTACCATGCCCACGTTCACCCTCATTGAACCGATAGACAACATCGTCGAATCCATCTGTAGCAAAGGCATACAGCCATATCAAATCCTCTCCTCCGATATTCCGAACCCCATGCTCAGCATCACCTGGTATCCACACCACGCTCCCTTTGCCTACTTCATACTCGTCCCCATCAATCGTCACTATCCCCGTACCAGAGGTGACATGATAGATCTCCGCTTGTTTGTGACGGTGAGGCTTAAGCTGGCCTTGGCACCCGGCTGAGACGCCTGGAGCGCATGTAGCAATGCCAACGGTAAAGGTGTTTGTGCGCGTCTTTGGTGTTGAGATTAATGTTCTCCATGTAACGTCGCCACCAGCGCTGGTGTCTGGGAAGCGCTCGGAAGCAGTGCTGATGATGTCGTCGGCATTCAAAACAATAGGCTTATTTGGCTTTACTTCGCCCATAGCAGCAGACTATTTTCCGAGGCAAAGGTTTGGGTTGTGGTTATTATCAGGACAGCTGTGACTTGATGCTGATATGTAGAAAAATCAATTTACAAGTACGTCATCTGGAAATTCCACACTGTGTATTCGGAATTAGTATTTAGTTGGGCGCATGTTGGGATCGATAAGATAAGGGATCAGATGCCCGCGTTAGATCTAGTACCAGGCTCACGTAGGTAGATCCGATATAACCCCGAGTTTTTAGCTTGGCCATCTAGGTATATTTCAGTGCGTGCAGTTATTGCTGTGGACAAGTTCCATTACTGTTGCAGCAGGTCGTATGTGAGTCAATCAAGGAAGCACTCAGAGTGACGCCATGTGAGATCATACCAGCTCATGGTTTGGCCGACAGCTCGGATCGGGCCATGCACGTGTGGTCGTCTTGTCGATCACTGCATGTCCGTTTTGCAAAAAGAAAAAAGAAGCTTGTTTTTTTTCTCTACGAATGTAACACAAGGGACTCAACTGCAGCGACGGTCTGGGTACACTTGACACATACGACGACGCCGTCAGTGGCGAGTTGAGTACTAGGGCGCTGCGACGCATGAATGCTGATGACATACCTTTCGACGATCGTTGAAGCGGGACCTAAAAGCAGCAATACGAGTGTTGGAGTACTTCCAAAGCATGCCCTGTCTGAGATGGTGTTTCGCAATGACATGTCTTGGAGATGAAATGTTTCTTATTGCTCAGGCCTTCTCCGCGGAGAGAGGGATGAAGAGTAGCTGGGTCGGAGCTGACGGATTAAACGCCAGCATGCCGTAGAGGTACCGATGCTTGCCAAAGCCGGAATACAGATGCGTGGGTTGAGCTTTATACAAGAGAGATTTGGCCGATGCAGAAGCCTGCCGGAACGCGGGTGTTGAGTTTCCCAGTTGGGGTAAGATGGTTGCAAAGCTGGTCTTGTGCACAGCTGGCTGGCAGCACCATGGCAGGAAACAAGTTGCGGTGAAGTAGCAGGTTGAGGTTTGTCAGGTCGATTGCACGGTCTCGTAGGCTTGCAGTTGAGCCTGGGCTTCCGAATGGTCGTAAACTTTGATGGACCTCTTGTGTCTCATACCGTAAGTACAAATGACGGTGGAATTTGCCGAACCCCCGGCCGACTCGACAGACCGGGGTGGGTGCGAAGAGAGCAGCTGGCGCGGTGAAGGGGTAAATTGCATGTTGATGGGTAGAGAGACGAGGATAGGCCAGAGCAGGTGCGGAGGGACATTTTCGTGCGCATGCGATACGAGAAAAAAGTGGTCGCTGCAACGTTGTTCGGCGGCTCCGATGTGGGTGTGCATGCAGCAACAGCAAACTAGACAGGCGGGTACCAGAGCACCTACATATCCGGACAATGGTGATGGTAGAAGGATGCAAGTGCAAGTGTCTTTCCACCTTTTATCTCGGTGACGCACTTGGGCTCTCTGCTCTCCATTGCGGCTGGTGGAGGCGTTGCACCGCCACGTGCTCGCGTGATATGAAACAGGGACGAGGAGGTGTGTAGAGGTGGAGAGGATACAGTAAGCATGTCGGCTATGTGCCTGTGCAGGCATGGTAGTATACGCATGGGGTTGCCGAGCTGACGAAGGCCATGTTCAGAAGCCGCCAAGGTGTAGTACTGTAGTCATCAGTAGTTGGTTAGTAGTAGTAATAGTGTTAGTAGTAGTAGTAGTAGTATGGGAGCATGAGCAAAAGGCACAACGGCTGACAGGCCGGCTACGCGGCGGTTAGCGGTAAATAGTGATCCGAGATTCACTGGTGATCCGTGCGTTTGTGGGTGGCTGCCCCGTGCCCCCGGCGCCGCCGTGCTGCTGCTCACCATTCCACTGCCACGGCTGGACTGGACTGAACTGGCAGACAGGCCTCTGCCCCTCATCCTGTGCTGTGCTGTCTTGCGCTGCTCTGCTCTGCTCTGTTCTGGCTTCATCCTACGCTGCTCGTCTTGCGCGCCCCATTGTTGTCGCGTCGCTGCACCCGCCAATTCGGCCGTCCCGTCTTTGTTGCGACGGCCAAGCACACACAGGGTCATTCCCTTCTCGCGCCTCTGGACGACGCCCACCATCCCTACTACTCCAATATACTACTACATCCTGTGCTGCAATCACTCCCCCCCCCTTCCCTTGCTCTCGCCCGCCCGCCCGTCCGCCCGTGAGCCTGTGTGTGCGCATGTGTGCATGTATGTATGTATGTACAGAAGATACCAGCGACGATTCCGTACAGCGTATTGCATTGCAGCAAGCAGGCTACTAGCTGCGGCGGACCCACTCGCGCGTCGTGGATCGACAGCATACTTGAGAAAAGGTACCGACAAAGGAGCGTGCGAAACCCACGCCCCGTCGCCGACTCAGCAGCCCAAACCAAGGCTCGCGACTCCGTTACAGTTGGCAGCGGCATGTCATGATGTGACAGGCCCTCGCCCGCATCCAGCCCACCACTGCTTTCCCTCTGTTTGCTGCCCTCGAGACATGCCAACCCAGGCCTGCCAGCCAATCCCGCCCAACGACCTCTTCACCTCACACATCAACCTGCACCAAGCCTGAAACCCTCCCCGCCCACGCCTACCACGCCATTGGGGGACTAGCCAGCCTCGGCCTACGACATTCCTCACCACCACCACTCCCACCACCCTCGCTAGAGCCCTCACCCTCGTTGTCGTCGTCGTCGCTGCTGCTGCTACCGCTGGCTACACATCGTGTGCTCCTCCCCTCTGCAACAGAGAGAGAGACACCCCGTCCGCCAGCGCGCGCGCGCAAGGGCGCATACCGCCGCTGATCTGCCCATCACCGCCAGGGTCCCGTCGCCATGCATCAGTACATTCCTCCCCCGCCGCCCCAGCCCTCGAGCACGCCCGCCGGCCACATTGCGCTGCCTCCGCCGCCGCCACGGCCAACGGGCTACAACAACCTGGGCGGCATCCCCATTCCTCCTCCCCCGCACTCGACAAACTGGGGACCACCACGGCCCCAGTACCAGCAGCCGGGCTACGATCCAGGCCAATACCGCATCTATCCCCACAACCTACCCCCTCCCCCAGGCCCCCCGCCCCAGCAGATTCCCGTCGAGCGCGAGCCTCCTCTGACCTCAGCCACCTACATACCCGGCGGCGAGTCGTTTGGACCCGGCGTTGGCATCCCCCCGTTACACACCTCCAGAGGCTATTCGGAGCCCTACTACAGAGACGACTCCCACTCGGCCACCACCGAAGCTCCGCCCCAGCCCTTTTCCAGCAGCCTCCTCGATAGCGTCCAGAGCGTCCAGTATGGCTCCAATGGCTACAACATGCCTCCCACACCCAATGTCCGCAATAACCTCAACATACCTACCGACAGAACAAACGCCTACGACTCGCCTGGCCCTCCAACAGCGACCCTGCAGAACCCCATGGTCCAGAGCCATGGCAGCGTCTACTATCGCCCAGAGAGCAACGGCACCACGCCAATATCCCCTCACGATGCCTCCATGCAATGGCCCGCCGAGCGCGTTCAGCAGTGGCTGGCAAGCAACAACTTTTCCCGCGACTGGCAAGAGACGTTTAGGACCCTGGGCTTGGAAGGATCTAAATTTCTCGACATTGGCCGTGGTCACGGAAGCAAGGGAAATGTGGCCATGATGCACCAAGTCATCTTTCCCCAGCTAGCCAAGCAGTGCACTGCAAGCGGGACCGGGTGGGATCAGAACAGGGAGCGTGATGAAGGTCGCAAGCTCCGCAGACTGGTTCGTGGCATTGTGGAATCAGGTGCTTCAAACTCATATCGGCCTCCGCCCCAACGGTCTGACACAGGCATGACAAGCGCAGGCACAGAAGGCACCCTGGAAAATTCGCCCTATCTTGGATCCCGCGGCATGGACTTTGGTTCAACGCCAACAACTGCAGGCAATGGCGAGGAAAGCCCCGGGCGCCAACTGCTCGTGCATTCACCTGGCGCGAGTATTAATCCGTCCAGGCGCATTTCCACCCAGCAGCGCAACTTCACTGTCCCCGGCCTGGGGCCCACGCCGGACTTTTCAGAAGGACCTGCGCGCAGTCCCTATTCGCGGGAGGTTCTCCAAGGTCTCGACATCAAGCAAGTACGACATAGCCCAAATACGTCTTCTGAATTCGGACCATCGTCACTGGGCGCTGGAACCCACCGTCAGTCAAGCCCGCAGCACAGTCCAGGTCTCCCATCTGCTCGCCTTGCTACAAACAGCGGACAGCTGAGCGCGGGCCTGACCACCCAAGGCTCCCGTTACTACTCGCCCCACAACCGCGTCAACAGTGCTGAGTCGATCAATTCTACTTTTGCCAATAATGGTTCAGGGCCGCCTTCTGGTAGATCCTTCGAGGGCCGTCCTGAAAGCCGCAGTGAGAATCGGAAGAATGGGTGGGAAGGCACGCGGCCCAACGCGGCTCTCATGGACATTCCGACTAGCGCCAAGGATCACGAAAAAGGATTCTTCAAGAAGATCATGGGCGGAAGAAAGAAGGACAGCCACCCGTCTGACGATACTAGTTTAGATTCTCCGACCAGCCCAGCCAGCCATCGCACTCACCCCAGCGGATCTCTTTTTGGGAAGTCGACTATGAACTCGAGTGAAACATCTCTGAACGAGCGTCCTCCATCAAGACGCTCTGCACAGACGGATTCCGACAACCGTGCTGCTGGCCGTGGCCGCACTCACGGCAAAGAAGATCGAAAGTTTGCTTTTGTCACACCAGACGGCTACAACTATCGCCTTCTCGACATCACTAACGTCGATTCAGCGACTTCATTACGAACACTGTGTTGTGAGGAGCTGATTCAAGGATTAAGCAAGGTACCCGGAATTGAACTGCACCTGACCGTTCCTGGCCAGTATGAACACAATCGCCCGCTTTCCGACTCCAAGTTGCTCAAGGCTCGGTCGCAATACGGAAACCGGTTTGGTGAGCTGAAGATCTTTGTCAAAATACCTCCAGAAGGAGCAGTTGGGTCGTCAACCGGGCTTGGTGTCTCGCTCCCTCACGCTGCTGCCCGGACGGTTGATGACAACGCATACTCGCGTCTCAATGCCGATTCTCAGCTGGATTCGCCAGGTGCCAAATCAGAAGAATCCACGCTAGTTGCAGACAAGAGCGCAGCTCTACGCAAAATGGCCGATAAAAATGAGCTTCTACCCAGTGATGCAGCCGAAAGGTCGCACGGAGGCAGTAGTAGTAGCAGCAGCAAGCCGCCCGAGTCCTGGGATTCGCGTGGCGATGTGTCTGAGGAGGAACGCCGTAAGCTGCTACTAGAAGCAGCTGCAGAAGAGCACCGAAGGGAGATGAAGCGGAAACAAGAAGAGTATCTCAAAACTCGTTTCCCCAAGATGAATGGGCAAAGCCCTGATCTGAACTCTGCGACCAGCGACAGCATCAGCTACCGAAGCCAGCGGGTCATCGACTTTGACGAACCACGCGCTTCGCCTTACGAGGATCTGAAGAAACCCTTCGATGACCAACAGCGCAAGAGCAAGCAACTCGTACCCTTGAGGGAACCGCCGCCTGTGCCAGCTGATACCAGCACACTTTTGAAAGCTAACTCGTTGACAAAGAACAAGAGTAGGACTTCGTGGCCGGAGAGTGACGACGGCCAAACAAAACGCCTTTCAGCAGAATCCCAGCCTGAGAAACGCAAAGCCATACCTCAAGGTGCAAGTGGGCTTGGCGGCATTGCCGCTGCCATTATTGGAGCAGGCAACCTAGGAGCTGGTATTGGAGCCGCGAACAGAGCACCCAACAAGGGTCCCCTTCCCCCACCAAAGGACGAGAGCTCGCCAGAAGGCATCCGGCCCTCGCAACAAGTACTGCAGGAGAACGGTTTCGGCGCCAGAACCGGCTCCGGTAGAAATAGTCCAGGTGGGTCGCCCCGCAGCCCTGGTGAATATACCATGAGCAAAGGCAACATACCATTCAGAATTCCTGACTATGAAGAAGCTTTCAGTACCGATTCCCCGACCGAGCGGCCAGACCTTAGCATTTTGGTGCCGGATTTTGCAGGCCCCAACCAAAGGGATGATCGATCTCGGTCGCCAGGCCGAAGCCCTCACACCGCACAATCTACGGAACCTAGCCTTACCAGGGAGCCGTCTAGAGTATCGGTATATGGCCCAACCCATGACTTTGAGGAAGCCCGAGTCTCTTTTATTACGAAGTCGCCCAACCTTGATCCAATGGATGCGGACGATGATGATTCTGATGATGGACTATTCCAAGCGCCACTCGCCGGACGAGCTGGTCCTCCTCCACCTGAAAAGGACGCACCTATTACTAGAATCAACTCTCGTAGCCGGAGACCGAACCTCCGACTCAAAACGCAAAGATCAAAGAACTCACTAGCCCAGGTGACTGAAAAATCAGCAGAACCAAGCGCAATGGGCGATCACGAATCTCAGGCCAGCGATTGGCATCCTGAGTCGGCCGCATCAACAACATGGACCGACTCGCCAGACGACACGAACAAGTTTTCACGCCGTGAATCATTTGCCAGTGATGTTTGGGCTAACCGTCCACCGGCTGAAACCCTTGTGGACCATCTTGATGAGCTCTTTCCCAACGTCAATCTCGATCAGCCTATGCTTGAGGAGGCCGAGACGGATGGGTCCACAGAGTTCATACCAGAAAACAACAAGCCTTTGCCAGCCGACCCCACTCCTTCGAATCCAACTCTCCACCGAGGTGGTGCTGGATTGCAGTCGATTGCACAGCGCAACATGCGCAAGTCAGGCGCTGGCTTGGGACGCACAAAGTCTATTCGTGAAGTCGTCAAGTCGCAGTATCAGCCACTAGAGAACAGACACTTGCCAGGCCATGTACCCGCCGGACCAGGGCCATCACGCGTTGCTACGTTACGCAATGGTGGTGACATAATCAGGAGAAAATCTACCAAGATGTTCAACGCGAGGACGGAACAAGTTCGACCACAGCGTGGATCGCGTCTTGTTATGGAGACGATACCCCAAGATCATCTATCCAGCATGCCGTCACGCCAGCCAACGTTCAAATGGATGAAGGGACAGCTGATTGGCAAGGGCACGTTTGGTCGTGTGTACCTGGGTATGAACATCACGACTGGTGAATTGATTGCTGTCAAGCAAGTAGAGGTCAATGCCAAAGCGGCCGGCTCGGACAAGGACAAGATTAAGGAATTGGTCAAGAGTCTGGATCAGGAGATTGACACCATGCAGCATTTGGATCATCCCAATATTGTGCAGTATCTTGGTTGCGAACGCAAGGAATACAGCATTTCCATTTTCCTCGAGTACATTTCTGGTGGCTCGGTAGGATCGTGCATCCGCAAGCACGGCAAGTTTGAAGAAAGTGTTGTTTCATCTCTTACCAGGCAGACGTTACTGGGTCTCTCGTACCTACATCGCGAAGGTATTCTGCACCGCGACCTCAAAGCCGACAACATTCTCCTCGATCTTGACGGCACATGCAAAATTTCTGATTTCGGTATTTCCAAGAAGACCGACAACATTTACGGCAACGACGTAACAAATAGCATGCAAGGCTCCGTCTTTTGGATGGCGCCCGAAGTGATCCGCTCGCAGGGCCAGGGCTACTCGGCCAAAGTGGACATCTGGTCCCTCGGCTGCGTGGTGCTCGAAATGTTTGCGGGTAAACGTCCTTGGTCCAAGGAAGAAGCCATCGGCGCTATTTACAAGCTCGGTAGCCTCAATCAGGCACCCCCCATCCCCGAAGATGTCAGCCGCGTGATTGGCGTCGAGGGTCTAAGTTTCATGTACGATTGCTTTACTATCGATCCCATGGAACGACCGACGGCGGAGACTTTGTTGCGGGCTCCGTTTTGCTTTTCGGATCCAAATTATAATTTCTTGGATACAGAGCTGTATGCGAAGATTAGGGGGGCTTTTCAGTAGACGTTGTTATTTTTTTTCTTGTGCAGGCAAGATGTGTGGGAAAGGCAGGAGAGGAGAAGAAGAAGAAGAAGAAGAAGAAGGAGAAATATATGTATCGACATGTTTTTTGGTTCTTGATGTTGCTGTTGTTGTTGGTGTCCATTGGTTATATACCCACTTTCTCCGCCTTTATTTTCTTATCTCTCTTCTCAAAAAAAAAAGGATCCATCTTTCACTTTGAAACTATTTTCCTTTGTTGCTGGGTATATGTTATTGGGGAGATGCTACTGCATATATACGTTCATTCTACCTATTTCTTTTTTTTCGTTCAGGTTAATTAATGAAGCTAAAGCCCCATCTTTCACTTTTCTTTCCCATGTCTTTCGAGATCACGTGTACATCTCATATGGATAATTTTTTTTGATAAAAAAAAACAAATAAATCATTTCGAAATGTCACTCAGGCTTATGATCTCGATGTCACTCTCACTCTCCCTATTCCTGCTTGGCACCCCCCCTGCTTGGCATTTTGTGCCGTGCTTGGCTGGTGTCGTGGCTTGGGGTCCCGGGAGCTGGGGGATGAGAAGGGGGAGAGGAGGTGGCTGTGGGTATGGTTGTGGGTGTGGCTGGAAGGGAAGGGGGGTATGGAGTAAGGTGTGTTGTGCTGTGTATGCGGCTTGGAGCTGGGTGGGCTAGTGAGTGTGCGGGTTGAAGCTGCATTGCTAGCGATATTAGGGTCATGGGGGGTGAATGAGCTTATGTATACGGCTCTGTTCGTATCTTTTTTCTTTGGGAAGGGTCGGAAAGTGAGGCCATGGCGATGATATAACATGCTGGGGTTCAAGGGCATACCAGTGAACTACACTTTTGCGTGAAATATTTTCCAGGTTCAGTATGTGAACGCAGGCTATTCTCAAAATGCAGGTTTTGATTGGCTTCTCGGCTGGATGCGGAGGTTCTATAGGAAATGTACATGTCTGGTTCATGGATGTGGCTAGACCGCTCGACTATATACGCCGTACGCGGCAAGAGAGTGTGTAACAGCATCCTTGCATTCGACTTCATTTAGTAGCCAAGATGCTAAATTGGGAGCATGTCCAGGCCCCTTCCTAGACCAGTGATTTCATCTCTCGTATACACAGTAGGTGTGTGATTTGCACGACGAGACTAGAGCATCTCGGCATGACTAGATTGGTCCACTTGGCGGTACGCTGGTAGAGGGACAATCTACACAGAGGCGTTTTGGCTGGAATAATATATTGAGCTGAAAGCTGTTTACGGGCTAGTGTGGTTCTAGGCTAGCCAACAACTTGGGCGTAAGACGGAATTCCATCACGCGTTTGCCAAGTACCCGCCGGCCTTACGAGGTATTTCGGACCACCAAACGTAAGCTGACGTGCATGTCAGCATTCAAAAACATGGAGTCCAATATCAAGGAAGCGGGCGAGGGTTGGGAAGCATTTGCCGACGGGCTCGTATCCTAGGACGAGGGCTTGCATCTGCAATGGGCTAAATAGATGGCGTCGTCCCCTGTGCACCCGACCTACCGGAAAGCCGCTCCGTTGCTTAGCTGCACGCAATGATTATTGCTAGGTAGCAGAGCCGGGGGGCCTGTGGCATCAAAGTTTTGTAGTCAGAAGCTAAAATAGGTAAATTCCATGGTAGGCGTGACGACTAGGAGGTTAGTTTGTGCAATGTGAAACGCGAGGATTGAAACTAGGTGAGGACGAGCCGAGGGTGCGTGGTCTTGAGCTGCGTCCATATTGGGACTAGACCCGACATCCGCGATAGTCGTAGCGGCACTGGGCAACAAAAAAGGTACCGTGCACCACCGATATGAGGATCTGTCGACTCAATTCTGGGAAGGTGACATGGGAGCATGGCAAAGTTGATGATAATGTCTGGGTTACCTATAGCATCTTGGCGGAGGGGTTTTCACTTGAGCGAGATAGCCGTTGGGGTTGCACAAGTTTAAGGCTGAATTCTATTGCTCAGAAAAGTCGCCGTTGAGGAGAGCCAAGGGGAGCGATGGCAGTAATGGTAACGTCTTTTTCTGCTCTTGGAGACTTGTCCAATAAAGTCCAAGACTGGCGCAGCAGATCTAGACGTGCTTGCTTTTTGACGACGGGAATGCGTTCTAGGGGGCTTGTAGAAGTCGCAGTGTGTGGTTAGCATAGTAGTAGTGGCTTGTAGGTAGATGGTTATCTCGAGGGAAACGAGCATGGCGGACGCGGATGTGTGCAGACAGTGGCGACCTGCCGTAGCGAAGGATGGTAAATGAGGAATAGCACTGCGAGTGGGTACCGCGAACAGAGACGACGCAATACTTTATGTCATTGCATAGCGCAACGCGCGTTGAACGACCTGGCCAACCACACACGGTAGTAAGCGGACCGAGATAGCCGGGCTGGGACCTCAGGCGTCATAGATGGAACAAGGTTGGAGAGAGTGTGTGTACGTGTGTATGTACGCAGTATGTACTTGGTACATCGGACACAGATGGCATGTATCGAGACATGGGCACCATGCGGGAAAGGCGGCGGCAGATGGGCATGGGCATGGTTGTTGAGGAGTGCATGCGACCACTAATTATATCGATAGAGGCACTCGGCCACATGGAGATGCGAAAAGCTTGAACAAGACCAAGCCTTGATGATGTGCAAAAAATAGCACTGGTGAAACTGCAACAAGGGACCAAAGGGAAGTTGGTATCGGGGGCGACGGGTGGAGGCAGATGGAAGAAACATGGTGAAACGGGGTGTGGGTCGCTTCTGGAAAAGACGGGCGCAACTAGCGATGGGTGGGTATGGGAAGAGTGAGTGGGAACGAGAAGAAGGGGGGGGTGGGCGTAAGTGGTGTAGTAGGTAGTTCAGTATTTGGACGAATAGTGTAGTGTAGTGTAGCATCGTATGGGTAAAGTATAGGAGGGAGTGCATAATGCTATGGCGTGGACATGGCATGACATGTGCTTCTGGGGGAGGTGCACTGACGAACGATTTTGATTCGGCGTGCATGACTAAGGCATGATTGGGACGGGCGTCGGGGCTGCAATGGGGGCGTGCCTGAGTGGGTGAATTGAGCCATTGCCATTCTCGTCGTGGCCGTGGTGGTGGCGTGGCTGTGCAGCAGCCCGCCCTGCCTGACTCGCCCCTCTGCCGCCGCCCACTCCTCCTCTCCTTCACCTTGACCTCCATCCGTCCATTCATCCATCCATCCCCCCATTGACGCCACTGTGCTACTAGCAATCGAACAAAACCCTAGATCCTCTCATTACATCAGCCATGCCGTCGGCTGCATCTCGCGGCATCAGACGACGGGCGCTTGGGGCCACGGCAGCGTGACGACAATACACACACGCAAATCTCAGCACCACAACCCCTGCGTCCCCAGTCGCCAGCAGCCAACGGCCTCCCATGGCCCTGGCGCGCGTGCCGCCTCGTCGCTTGCGGCCAAGTCAGGGGCAGGCCGTGCAGATCGGTCGTCGTGTGTCGTTTCGGGACCAACTGGGGCCATGCACCCAATCCACTCCATTCTCCGGCCTGGCCAATCACCGCCCGTCCCGTCAGTCATGACCCACGAATACGACGAATCCACCCTCCCCTCGAGCGCCTGGCGTCCAAATGGGCCACCAACAGCTGGGTCCCTCGCCCTTTTAAGCATGGACTAAAAACAAGACTGCCTCGATATATCATGCTGCCACACGCCCGCCCCTTGTCTACCCTCCACGCCGCATCTCTGATTCCTCGTTGTTCTCGACATCGAGGTTTCTAACCAGCAACTTCCTTTTTCCCTTTGACCTGTTGGCTTCGCTTCCAATCGGTCGTTACGCTCATTAGCTTCATCCATTTTAATTCCTGCTCCCGTTTCTTCGCCTCCACGGGAAACCAGTCCCTCGTTCTGGCCCTCGGCCCTTTCCGTCGTTTACGTATAAGCACTCAAAAAAAGCACCTTCTTCTCATCATGGCCAACTTCAGCAAGCCTGCGGGCATGATGTCCATGGTCTTTGCCTTCTTGTCGCTTCTTCAGTTCACTGTTGCGCTCCAGCATGGCGCCCATCACAACCATGCTGCTTTCGCCGGCCACTCTTCCGAGGACCTTATCAAGCGTCACCTCCAGGAGATTGAGGCAGAACTCCAAAAGCGCCAGTCCAGAGGCCCTATTCCCATCAAAGGTGTCTGCAGCAACGGCTATGCTTCCAATGGAGACTGCAATGGCGGAAGCTCTGCTGCCGCCCGTCTCGAGATCCGTGACTTGGCCCGCGACTCCGAAGCCTGGAACCTGTACATTCTCGGTATGGAGAGGTTCATAGCAAAGGACAAGCGTGACGTCCTCTCCTACTACCAGGTCTCCGGTGTCCACGGCCGTCCCTTTGTCACCTGGAACAACTTCCCATCCCCCCTGGTCAACAACGCTGGTTTCTGCCCCCACGGCATGACCCTCTTTGGTTCATGGCACAGGCCCTACCTCGCCGCTTACGAGGTACGTCTTCTTCATTGCTAGTCTAACTTGTCACAACTAACACTTTGTCCACAGCAAGCTTGGTACCAGTCTGTCCTTGAGGTGATTCAGGAGTTCCCTGCTAGCCAGCAGGGTCGTCTGCGACAAATCGCCTCTACTCTGCGTATGCCCTACTTTGACTACGCCCGTGATCCAGGCAACGCGCCTGCTGTCCCAACCCTCATCCGGGACCAGACCATCACTGTCAACAAGCCCCAAGGTTCTGTTAGGATCGCCAACCCTCTCTACAGCTACAGCTGGGGCAACTCGCTTCCCTCTGAGATGGGCGGAGGCCCATGGAACAGCTGGCCCGTCACGCTTCGCCGCCCTGTCGCCAATCCTACTCGCAGCAACAACAACGAGTTGAACGCTCGTTTTGGCTCTGCCCGCATTTCGATTCGTGACCGTATCTTTGCTCTCTTCTCCAGCAAGCCCAACTGGGGCGCTGCCAGCACTGCTGCTATTGGTGTCCGTACTGCCCTCAGCGGTGGCGGCGTCGACAGCATCGAGTCTGTCCACGACCTTATCCACAGCATTTCTGGCGGTGAGAGCGGTGGTCACATGGCCTACCTCGATGTCGCTGCTTTCGACCCTCTCTTCTGGCTCCACCACTGCAACATCGATCGTCTTCTCGCCATGCTCCAGATCATCAGCCCCAACACCTACGTCGCCAACGGTAACGTGATGCGCCCCATGGCCCAGTGGAACCAGGGCGAGCCCAAGAACGCGTACACTCCCCTGAAGCCCTTCACCAAGGACGCCGCCGGCAACTACTACACCTCGCAGGACGTCTACGAGACCCGCACTCTTGGATACTTCTACCCCGACACTAGCTCCAACTCTTA